CCCAGCTCCCAGTGTATTTGGGGCTGGCACCAGTGGTGGGGGTGGGGGTGCTTTCAGCAGTGGAAGTGGAGGGGTGGCACAGACAGGTTTTGGAGGATTCAGCCAGCAACAACAACAAAATAAACCACCAGGTACTGTTGGTCTTTTTTTTCTCTTTTTACTAAAGAAAGAGAAAGTTAGCTCTGTTTATTAAATTTAAATCTGGAAAGGACATGAGAATTAAAAATTATAAAAGCCAAGCACATTTGAAAAAAATTCATTTGCATCAGTGTTTATATTCAATTATTTTAAATTTTCTTGACATTATGTAGGTGGGTTTGGTGCTTCTCCCACTTTTGGTGGAGCTGCTTCCTTTGGAGGACGACCTGCCTTTGGAAGTCCCCCTGCATTTGGCAGCAGCAGTGTCTTTGGTGGAGGTGCTACATTCAGCAGTCCTGTAGGTGGCAGCACATTTGGGTCCTCCCAGACAGCCCAGGGTGGAGGTTTTGCTGCGTAAGTTGAATTGGAGAAGCTTGTTAGTAGTGAAACCTTAAGAACACAACAACTGACATTTACTTTCTTCTTTTAAGGCATAAACCACAGTTGTTCTAATATGAGTGGCTGTACAAGGACAAAATTTAAGTTAATATAATCATGAAAATACTCCATTTGTTTCACATATTCAAGACAAGCTAATATCATCCCCAGGTTTGCCAATGCTGGAAGTAGCCCTACATTTGGAGCCCTGGCCCAGGGGGGGAACACCCCAAGTTTTGGAAGTGCTGCCCAATCCCAAGCTGCACCCACATTTGGTGGGTTTGGAAGCCCTCAGGGTGAGTTAGTCTGCATTTTAATGGTTTTTGCAATTGCATATCTGTTAGTTATAAAAGTTCAATAGATCATAAATGATTACAGTATTGAAAAAAAAAAACAATCAAGTCCATTATTGCACTTGTCTGAGCGATATGAATAGGATTATGAATAATGAAAATTTCCCCCATTTTGTTCCAGGGCAGCAACAAACATCCCCCAATTTTTCTGGATGGCGCTAAATGTGAGGTTTTTTAGAACAAGCCTAGAACTTTATGAAAAGACCAAAGCAAGACTTGATGGAAAGCAAAAGAATGATTTTAAGGAAGCATAATCATATATTGTGGAATTGAATTAATAAGAGTCATTCAGCAAAAAAAAAAAAAAAAAACATTTTTGAGTCTTATCAGTGATACACACCTTTGTGTTATATTTGCCTAATTTCAACTTTATTATCATTTTTTTTTTCACTTTTTACTATGGTATCCTACAATGTGGAAATCTACAACAATTGTAACACCAGGATAAGCACTGGGACTTCTGGTGACTTTACCCCCCCCCCCCCTCCTCCCTCCCGTCCCCTCCAAACTGACTTGTTGAAAATCAAAATTGATATCATGCATTTATTACACAAAATGCGTGTCACTGTTGTGACTGAAATGCTCACTTTGTTGTGTAATGACTCATCCTTTTTTTCTTTTAAATAATAAATGTGTTGTTGGTAATAATTGTACACAACTTTCATGTATCTAAATCACTGAAATGTTTGCTGCAACAGTAACTTTTTAAAATGTACTCTAGCTTGTATTTGGGAAAATTTGACATAATTATCATTGATTTTTGCAAGTGGTTTATATATTTGAGGTAAACGGTAAATATTCACAAGGATTTTTCAAAATGTTCTCATGGGTGTTGGAAATGTTCTTTAACAGACAATGGAACCTTACACAGTGCCTTATCCTGAAGATAGCAGTTGAAATATTCCAAGTGATCTGGTTTGTATTATGATCAAGGTTTTAGTTGAAATGTTTAACTTCCAAGTAATAAATGTTTTAAGTAGATGTGTATTTAATATTCAGTCTTGTGTCTGTAAAACTGCAAATCGTGACTGATGAATTTGTTTTAATTGTGGTACAATCCTACAAACCCCTGTATAACTCTTAACATATATAGAAACAGCAGTATATGCAAGTCATTATACTATGGCTGGCACTTAGAAGAACAAGATAATTGCACTTGTATTTCACATACAGGTTTGCCTGTATTTTTATGTTTCTGTGGTATAAGTCAATTCGCCTCGATATAATTACGCTCTTGTATGTCGCATACAGTGGACTACCGGTGTTGTAACTAGTGCTTAGAATTGAAAATAGAGAAAAATCTATATACAGTGTTTCAG